TCTATCCAGGAGTACTGATCCACCAGTGACTGGACCGTCCACATACAGGAGTCTTCATACCACAATCACTGAGACACATTCTCTGTTGATCTCCATTTGACTGATTGAATGACTTCTAGCAGTCGGTTGCACCTGTTTTAAACCAGGTGAGTCAGTTTAAATGGGGGTGCAGAGCTTTGCAGCCATTCAATTTACATTTTATATTTCTAATAACATTTCCAAATGAGGTGAATACTTTTTATAGGAATTGTAGTTCTGTGAGAAAACCTCAAGTGTGCTTTATATCGTCTCTATAGGAGGTGGTTGTTTGGATCTTTTCTACAACAGGCTTCTGAAGTTGGAGACCTGAGCTTTCATCGTTCCACTGCTGCTGAAAAACAGATTGACTTTCACGTTTCGATCTGATTAGTCCTTCCATCTGACAGCCTTTTCAATCACACGAGACGAGAGATTTCACTCCACTCTCAGCTTTGTCCTTCAGGCTAATGAGGTTAGTTTTTCAAAACCAGCACAATCAATACTAAACATGATCAGCTTTTTTTTTAAAAAAAAAAAAACAGTGTTCACTCTGAAATTAATTATTGGAGGGTTATATTCATGAACCGGTTTCTTCCAACGGCGCAGATTTGTTTTCTAAACCCACTACATGCTCAATGCTGCTTCACTCAAACATGCACGTTTGGGCCTCATTTTGATTTATCGAAGCCATTTCTGAAAATATCACCAGGGATCCATCTGCACGTTCAAACTGAACGATGCGTTCCAAACAGAAACGGGCAGATTGGTGAAACGCCGCCGTGTTACCCAAAGACAAATGGAGATGTCACGGCTATCAACGAGGTAAATTGAAATAAAACCCGTTCCAGATGTCTTCGTTGGAGGTGAGACGAGATAAACGAGAGGATAAATTAACCAGAGTAAGGGAATGAAAGCGAGGCGGCTCTAGACATGAGTGAGGGACCAACAGGCACAACATAATGCAGCTCTCACTCAGATTTATCATCCACATCAGTCCGGTACGTTTCTATGCAGAGCTGCAGATCGACCTGTTAACGATCCTCTTTGCAGATTTACATATATTTGCTTTTTGTCCATGTAGAGAACCAGCAGAGTCTCTGTTGTCATTAACTGCACGTTTTTCTTTTGTTTTTTGCAGCCATTTGAAATGTTTTGTCATCTGTCCAGTGCAGCAGCAGCAGCAGCTCAACAGCAGGTGTAGAGAAGTTAATGGCTGTAACAATTAAGAACTCAACTTAAGCTGTCGTGAATATTAGAAAATGCAAATTAAGATTGACTTCCACTTAGTCCCGAATGTAATCCGACTAATGTATTAATTTGTATGTCTCAAGAGGAACTCCACACGCTGGAAACATAACGACTTTCTTGTTGGCGTATGACACTGTGGAGCTGATTTTACAGCAGACATATTGTGTCCTGATCAAGTGTTTTTGCCCCAATACAATTTGAATAATGTAGTATTTAGTATTTTCCCAATCCGATGTCATTTTCCTGTAAAATACACACTCCAAATACAGTAATGTTGTTGAAACCAACAGCAGCGGGCCGTGCATTTTCCTCCTCGGCCTTCAGTGGCGTCCTACCTGAATCAAACCACCTCCTAACACCATCATTATGACACCAGGACTATAGAAACCAGCAGTGTTACACAGACAGGCAGCATAACAGGACATTGCATCGCAGACATGTAGTCAGAATGAATGCCATCACTAAAGCAAGAAACCCAGTTAAAACAATTCAACAAGTCTCCACAGCAGCACCATATACACCACATCAGGCTGTGTCTAGGCCCGCTACGCTGTCTTTCAAGGTGTGTGTTTAGAAATTTTTTACATATTTTACAGTAAAACATGTGCAAATTTTCCTAAGAAACTCGTTTTTCTATCGTCGTCTTCGCTGCTAACACTGCTATTCGTTAGCACCTAAGACGCTAACGTCCTCGCTAAGTAAAGTAATACTTTTATAATAATAATAATAATTGATCAGATTTATATAGCGCTTTTCTAGACACTCAAAGGCGCTTTACACTGTCAATTATTCATTCACACACATTCATTCTGGTGGTGGTAGCTACGATTGTAGCCATAGCTGGGGCAGACTGACAGAGGCATGGCTGCCATTCTGCCCCTCCGACCATCACCTCAAACAATCCATTCATACGCATTCACACCAGGCAAGGTGGGTGAAGTGTCTTGCCGAAGGACACAACGACCATGAAACAGGGCGGAATCAAACCGCCGACCTTCCGATCATCGACCGACTCGCTCTACCACCTGAGCCACATATAAAGTTTTAGCTTGTGCAGGTCGCTACAGACGGGAACCGCTAGCTTTGGCTTAGCTCTCAATCAGAGGACGTGAAAGTGCTGATGTCAGCCAGCTGGCTGGTCCTGGGACCACCAACTCTAAATCTGATTGGTTAAAGCAACAGTTTCATTACAATGCATTTTAAACTACAGACGCCTGCACTTTTGATTCTCAAGGCCTCAGGGCAGATTTCTGTAACCCTGGCAACACATGATGGCTGAAATATGATTGGATTAAAAAAAAAAAAAGCTCTAATATAAACATAGGCTGCTGGAAGCACCACAGCCCAGAGACACGCTATGAAATGAAGAGAATAGACTGCTGGGAATGAAGTTAAAAGATTAATGGGAAAGTCAGTGATTCTGATAGAGTTTAGGCCAGCGGTGAAGGCTTTGCTGGCCCTGATGGCGCACCACTGGGAAACAATCCAATACATAGGCACAAGCAATAGATTGGCCATATACTAATTTGAAATGTAATTGATGAATCTTTTATTCCCCGTGGCATTCAAATCTGATGTGTTTTGGGTTTTTGTAGAGCCAGACCAATGATTAGTAATCAAGGAGACCAATAATTGATATTTGGGACAGACATACAATTGCAGTAAAAATGAAAATCTCGAAGTCAAAACTTAGAATAGCACAAGCTCCTTGAAATACGTTCTCAATTTGAAACCATTTTCCCAAATAATTCACACTCTCCAAGTACATGAAAGCTACTAAAATCAGCCCAGTCTTTATGGTTGACAAGCTCTGCGGTACATTAAGAAAAGAAACTGCATTTCTGCATCCAAGCTGTTCCTTAATGTTCTGTAGTTGGTCATGAACCTTGTTCTTAGGACATTTTCTGTGTTATACAGAGGAGGGTGTGCTGTTGTAGCTCTAAAAGACGGAGAAAACCTGTGTTCTCTACATGCATGTCTGAAAATGTATTGTCGATCAGCTGTAGTACCTGGTTGTTCCACCAGGTGGAGCCTCTTACTGCTTAATCCTGTAGAGACCAGAGGAGGCGTCACTCAGATTATGGGTAGTTTTGTGCTGGCAAGTCGAGAGCGTTCTGGGGGTTTGCTAGCAACAGGCACCATGACAAAGACTCATGTGGTGCTGAATGACGTTCGACTAGAACTCCTGTTTAAGACGAGCTGAGACTGACTAAGAAATTTGAATCCCTTAATCTACAGTCTGCAGCCTCAGCAGAAATATAGATTCATCAGATCAAGCTACATTATTTCATCTTCGACTGTCCAGTTTTGTTGAGTCTGTATCTACGACTCTGTCAGATTTTCGTTCTTGGCTAACAGGAGTAAAACCAGACACGGTCCTCTGCTGTTGTAGTCGATCCACCTCAAGGTTTATGCTCAGTAAAGAGTGATTATCGAAGCTACCGTTTCCTTTCGATCAGCTCCAACCAGTCTGGACTCATCATCAACAAGACATAAAGCCATTAATTGGCTGTATTTTGTATATTTTTTGGGGGGGATCATTCTGACTAAACTCTAGAGTCCACTTGCTGATTCTGGTACATTCAACAGCTTCAGAGATGCTTAAACCAACCAGTCTGACACCAAATGTTTGACGTGAGCACGAACTGAAGCTCTTAAAGTAAATTTTTAAAGATTTCTCTGGTTGAAACCACCAGAAGAAGTGTGAGAAGTTAAAGCTCTTACCCAAGGCATTGAACGTGGCGACGTGCTCCCACATGTTGCCGGGTTGCTCGGGTCGAGGCTGCCACACCAGAGCGTCCACGTCGTGTCGGAGGCAGAGACACGGCATCTCGGACGGATCCACGTCGACCGTGAACAGGTACTGATGGCTGCCGAGGTTCACCTGCAGAGAGACGGACGGCGTGGATTAAACTCGGCCCATTTGTGGATCCTGTCAGTCGTCTTCGTCGAGAACAATCCTCTGTTGTCACGTTGATATGAGAACGGAAAGTTTGCGTGATGAAGTGACCCTGGAGCTGGTTGGGTTTTAGTGGGAGACACACATGAACTGCTTCAAACACACTAGGGTTGATGTACTTTGAACCTCCTCCACTATATAAAGTGAGAATAATACAACATTTGAATTCCTATCCCATCGTTTTTAGAGTTTAGCAGATTGATTGACTTTAAATTGCAAAAAAAAAACGAAAAAGCAAACCTCAAATTCAACATTCTATTAAGAGATCAATCAGAGCCAAGACAGAAAATCTAGAAAATCCAGGCTTTGGTCAATAAATGTCCTCAAACCGGCTCCTTCATTGACCTTAACTGCAGCCTTTTATTTTAAATGCCTGCATGTAAGGAGCAAGATGAATCATATTTTAGGTGGAAGATCCATTTTATTTGCTCCTCTTTCCTTCTTTTTAGTATAGTAGTAGTACTTTTAGTAGTAGTAGTAGTTTAAGTTACTCCATCATAAGCGGGCGTAATAAGGAACTTTGGAGAAAGCGGTGAGATCGTTGGAGTTTCTCAGCTTGATTTTTGGTTTCAACAGGAAGTCGATGGGTCAGTCCACGTTCTTCAGCTCACACGATGATATTGCTGCACCGTCAGACTTTACTTATTTGTTGTTTCGTACCCAAAACTAAGTTCTGAAAAACACTTTGCTTGAATTTTGAGAATTTCATACGTTTTCAGACCCGGAATTTTTGTAATTTCACCCTTTAAAAAAACACACACATTATCTGTGAAGCCACTTCCAAGGTTTTTCAAGGTCTTTGTATTGTCATTATACGTACAAGTCGCTTTCACGTTGTCTTGATGTTGAAACAAGTTTGGCTTATTTTGCATCACTTTTTTTTTCACCAATGGTAAGGATCAATAATAACAAATTTCTTCTCTGTTGGAGCCATTCAATCATTAAGATCTGCTGGAAACAATTTTGTCGACGTCTTCACCAAATTTCATGGCTGTAGGAGTTTCATGTCTTTAGATATTAAACCCTTAAAATGGCTTTCCACATACTTGTTTTTTTTTTTGAGCAGGACAAAAACCAAAAAATCCCAAAGTCTAAAGACAGGAGAAATTCCCCAAATTCTCTCAAAACATTTGATTAACATTAGTTTTGGGTCCAAAACAACAAATCAGTAAACTCTCGACACGATCTAAACACTGAGCAACATATTTCCTGAATTCTGTCTGAAGTGACTGATCCACACCTCGCCCACCAACCCACTGCCGTCACGACGTCTCAGCTTTGCTAATCTGCCATGAACCGCAAATATAATGGAACAGACATAGAAGCGCTCAGGTTGACGCTAACGTTCATGAGCTGCGCGACTACAAACGCAGAACTTACCACCCAGGAAGAAACAGTCTATGAGATGCAACCATTTCAAATTAAAAGCTCTGGTGCTCCAGTGGGTATAAACCCTTCATTTAGTTTGTATTGTGAAACATTTGCATGCACAGCAACGACCAGAAAGGACCATTTTTTTTGCACAGCTTTTAACTGACTGCCAGTTTTACGATATTATAAATTCCAGTTTGCCTGTTTGGCACCAATACGGTTTATTTGTATATTATTCTTGAGCATTTTGTTCCTATTTTTTGCCCTTTTTGTTGACTGAATAAAACTAAAAGTAGTTAAAACTTCGTCCCACATGGCCAATGCGACCATGACCATAAAAGTCCGAACATTCACCTCCCTCTGATGAATCTACTTGCCCTGTGTGTGCTTTGCCGCTATTCTAACGTGACTTCCTCGTGTTTCTGGGAAAAGAAAACGACCGTCGCTGTGACATAACCGCTCCTCGACATCTGAGCACCTCACTTTCAGTCACCCACATCCTACGAATCCGACCGCCAAGCGAGTCTCGGAGGCTGTCAGGCATCGCCGTCGCCGCCCCCCCTCCACTCAGCACACAGTTGACAGGCATTGACGATTCCACATGGACCGGCCCATATGTTGGCGGCTGATGACAAGCTCATTCAGCGAGCCATCATCACCATCATCATCATCATCCCTCCTCTCTAAAACTCATTTTGCTGCCACTTGTGTGTTCTCAGAGTGTGCAGCTCAGGCTTCTCTGCATGTTTGAGAGTCTGAGGCGACGATACCGCCGACAGGCCGAGTCATGATTTCTGAATTTAAAAAAACATTGAAGACTGTAAAAATAAGCGCACTGGATTCAAATGAAGCCACAGAGAGAATGGAGGTTTCGTTAAACTTGATTTGATTGATAAATTCCTCCTCTTTTCATAGCAAAGACAATATCTGCATAATAACTATGTAATATGAAAGAACAATTAACCCTGCAGACAGCTTTAGTTTGAGGATGTAACGTCTGCTGCACACCAAAGCAATGATCTATATGAGCTCCTCACGTTTAGAAACAGAACCACCGTTTCAGCTGCTATGAAAACCCACTGAAGTCACAGTGAACAGGGTTTTATAGGTGCCAATATCTGGGTAGATAATTAAAATTAAAAAAAACTTCCACTAAATCTTAAGCGTACAATGATTTTATCCACTTACATGTGATTTTTCAACTGTAATATCTTTTGAACAAGTTACTGTTATTTTACAGATGTTTCTGGTTTAGTTAAATTACAAATATTAAAAGAGAAAAAGTATTAATTTACATGTTAACGCATTAAAAATCTTGAGGTTCTACAAACAGGACGTTTTTCTTGTATTTGAACCAGACAAACTGTATTAGTTTGCAGATATTTGCTCTTATCTGAGAGA